CTTGGAAGGCTGAGGTGGAAGGATCCCCGGAGCCCAGCAGGTTGAGGCTGCGGTGGCCAGTAGCGACCACTGCACTCCAGTCTGGGCAACAGAGTAAGACTCCAACTAAAAAAAAAACCAAAAAAACAAATACTTTATAGATAATTAAAATGGAGATATAACAGAGTGTTCAAAAAGTCTAGAGGCCACAGCTCTAATGGGAAGCCCTTGAAGATTTCTGACTAGTCAATGTGTTGAAGGCTAATCTGGCAAAGTACAGTAAAGAACAATGCACTTGGAGTCGGGGCCCATCTTCAAAGCCTGGCTCTGCCATTTATCAGCTGTGGGATCCTGGGCAATGTGCCCACCTCTCAGAGCCCCTTAGTTCTCAAATTGTGTGAAGTCGGTGGGCTCCAGTCCGCCATCTACGATCAGAGTGAGGGTGTCACATGATGGGTGCTCAGTCAATCCCCAGGACTAGGGAGTTAGGCAGCCCTTGCAGGTGGGAAGGGTGGAGGTGAAAGGCAAGGAAAGTGGGGAGCAAAGGCTATATGTGGAAGAAGAGCTCACGAGCCTGGGAGAGAGGCAGACAGCGATGCCAGAAACTGGCCTTCTCGTGGTCCTGGCTGGAATCTCGTCTTGGCCCAGGCCTCCCCGCGAAAGCTGGGTCTTTCCCAGAGGGTCTTCCAGGAACCAGCCTGGAAGGTCAGAGGTGAAGCTAGTCTCACCATCACAGCCTTGGAGGAGGGGGTCCGAGCAAATGGGCAAGGCCTGTGACCAGGGTGAAAGGGCCAAAGAGAGCTGTGGCTCCTGCCATGTGAACTTGGCAACTTCAGGTGCTGGCTGCCTTTCTGTGGCGGGGCAGGGGCAAGGGGGGTCACTTCCTGATTCTCAGGCCTGGGAGACGCCCAGAGTCATCCCTCCCAGCACTAACGAAATCAGGCAATCATCCAAGCCCCACCTAGTCACTGCTCCCTTCCTGACCCCAGCCTTCTTGACCTCATCTGTTGGGTCTAGCAGCAAATGGGCTCATTGGATGTGTGCTGTCTCATTCCTTCCACTCCTCCGCCCTAAGTTTTCAAACACATACACGCATGTGCGTGTGCGCACGTACACACACACACACACACACACACACACACACACACACACACCCTGAACCACCACTGCCACCACCAGGAAAAAGAACTGGAGAAACCAGCTAGTGGCCTGTGTGTACACCTTATCTTGCAGCAGCCTTCAGAGCCCCACCTTGGAAGAAGCTGGGCCAGGGTCACGCCAGGGCTTGAGGCTTTGCCCCGACTGCAGCAACACCGAGAGCCGACACTTGCGGACCCCTGGCCGTGTGTCAAGAATGAGCCTACACTCTGGACATGTATTCAAAGACACTCTCATCATTATCATTTTGCAGATGGGGAAACTGAGGATGAGTAACCTCTCCGAGGTTGCCCCGATATATCTCCTTAGTAAGCTGGCCTGTTTATCCTTGGGAAATAGGCCTCCTGGTCTCCAGTAATACTTCTTGTCCTGAAGTCCACTTTGATAGCAAGAGGATCGCATCAACTTCCTGAAGCTGGCATGTGCACAGCCCATCTTCTCTCACTCTTTTACTTTCAACCCATGTATGTCTTCACATTTATTTATTTATTTTTATTTATCTATTTTTTTTTTTTCAAGTTGGAGTCTCCATCGCCCAGGCTGGGGTGCAGTGGCATGGTCACAGCCATCCCAGCGTTGACCTGCTGGGCTCTGGCGATCCCTCCACCTCAACCTCCCAAGTAGCTGGAACTACAGGCGCGTGTGATGGCACCTGGCTAATTTTTAAAAATTTATTGTAGAGATGAGGTCTCACCAAGTTGCCCGGACTGGTCTCGAACCCACAGACTCAGGCAATACACACTTGCCTTGGCCTCCCAAAGTGCTGGGATTACAGGCTGAGCCACTGAGCCTGGTCATGTCTTTACATTTAAAGTACACCTCTTGCAGATAACATAGAGTTAGATCTTCCTTATTTATCTGGCCAGAAAATCTCTGCCTTTTGAATAGAGAATTTAGTCTAATTACACTTAATGTTGGAGTAGGCCTGCCTTCTTCCTGTTTTCTACTTGTTGCCTCTGTTCTTCTTATCTTGTCTTGTTTGCAGGAACTATTATTTATTTATTTATTTTAGAGACAAGATCTTGCTCTTGTCTGGAGGTTGGAGGGCAGTGGCATGATCATGGCTCACTGAAGCCATGAACTCCTGAGCTCAAGCAATCTTCCCGATCCTCCCGCCTTAGCCTCCCTAGTAGCTAGGACTACAGGCGTGTGCCACCACACCTGGCTTGCATGGGTCTCACCAAGTTACCCAGGCTGGTCTTGAACCCCTAAGCTTAGGCAATCCTCTTGCCTCGGCCTCCCAAGGTACTGGGATTACAGGCTGAGCCACCGCACCCTGCCCCCTGGTTTTTCTATATCTCACTTTTGCATGGTACACATGACACCCCTATACCTGTGTGTCATTCAACACAACTCAGACATAGCCACCTCAGACAATGAACGCATCTGGCTATAGCACAGAGATGCTGCCAGGCAGGTACCCCTCTCAGCCTAGCAGTGGTTTGGCCAAATTTGTATCTGTTGATACATTTCAACCATATTTTCTAAAGAAAAGAGCAGAGGGTTCATAAGTTTAATTCAGTAGAGACACACAAAGAAATGTCTAGGTAATCAGTCTAGGGGCCTGTATATCACACTGGGAGTGAAGGAGACAGAACACGGGTAATCCCAGCACTTTAGGAGGCAGAAGTGGGAGGACTGCTTGAGTCCAGGAGTTCAAGACCAGCCTGGGCAACATAGTAAGACCTCACCTGTACAAAAAATCCTGATGGTTATAGTCTCAGCTAATTGGGAGGCTGATGTAGAAGGATTGCCTGAGCCCAGGACGTCAGGGCTAGGTTGAGCTGTGATCATGCCACTGCACTCCAGCCTAGGTGACAGAGTGAGACCCCGGCTTAGAAAACAAAAAAGAGACAGAACAAATATGGAAACTGGAGCTAGACCGTGGAAGGGTATTTATAGGCATGGTGGCAACAGAGCTCCCCAACACAGGGGTCTGTTGTTTGATGTCCTGTTGCCAACCTGA